TGGCTTCCCAGAGTATTTAGGATGGCATAGTTTAAATTGTATAGAAGAGCAGGCAAGTAGAGACTCAGCATGGTTGACAGGGCTGACTGGTCTGACACCCCAGCTTGGCCTTTATGACACTTGTCTCAGCAATGAACAAGAACAATATTTCCTTCACAGGATGTGGTCAAAATTAAATAGCACATGCAAAATCTCTAATGCCAAGTTATCAGTGCGTAGATTTTATGGTGGCAATGATGATGATGACTTGGTCTCTGAACACTTTAATGAGTTCTGGTGTTTATTTAATTTGTAGCTATTTAAAAAATAGTTTCTTTTCTTATTGATTTATGAGATCTCATATATTATAGATATTCACTTTTTTCTTTCAAGTATGTTGTGAATATTGTTTCTAGTTTGCCATTTGTCTTTTACGTACAGCATTTTTCAAAAGTAATGTTTTCGTGTTTTAATTCCTTTCAGAAGCAACACATTTTCATGTTTCTATCTTTAAGGGCATGCTTTTCTCTTCTACTACTTTCATGAATCCTCATTTTATATTGAAATCATCAATCATCTAGCATTTTCTTTCATGTGATGAATAGGTAGAGGTAAGAGATTTTTGGGGTATAGTTTTTTCCCAAACAAAACAAAATCAGTAGATTTGACATTTATGTATACAATAAATAGAGACAATACTTTAGTATTGCTTTTCTTTAAAATGAACACTTTAAAAACATAATACTGAAAGAACATAAATACTGAATTTCATAGTATACATGTCAGAATGGGGATTTATAATACTATCACTACAAAATACATCCAGCTAGGATCATTATGAAAGTGAAATCACTCTATTGCTCCTTTATATACTAAAAATATAGCAAGTGGTTCATTCCTAGAAACAAGGTTATTATTCTACCATATACTGGTTCACACATTGTACAAGTCTTGATAAATTTAGTCATTTTTTGATGAAAGCCTCTATTGCTTATTGAACCAAGCCAACATATTTTAAAACACAGTCTGTTAAGAATATAACAGAGACCATCTCTTGCTAGGGACTTATAAATACTATTAATGGAATTAGTTAAATTTAGGAGAAAACTTCTGAGAATCATACAAACCATTAGAAACTTGTCCTTTCTTTCTAAAGATGTTGACTTTGTATTAGAATTGGAGCTAAGAGCCTTGCAAGTATATCTTACTCTCCAAATTAATCATTATTGTCAATGTCATCACCATCATCATGGAAGCATTATTTTCTTTTTCATTTGAAAAGTTTAAGAATCTTTTAAAAAGAGTTCTTTTTTTAATACAAAAAATCACATAGCAGGGTAGGGATGTAGTTCAGTGATAGAATGCTTTCCAAACATGTATAGGCAATGGATTCTATTCCCAACACTGGAAAAAAAGAACCAAAACTAAAACTCAAGAAACAAACAAGCAAACAAAAAATACATGGTTGTGAACAATAAAATTTACTTAGATGAAATAATAGACTCAAGAATAGCAACTCCTTAAGTGGCACATAGAGTTGATATTGACTCATCATTCTTTGGCCTAATCTTCATCTATTTTAGAAAAATTGTCTTGGGATTCAGAACTTACCATTAATTTTCTAGAACAGGCTATATGAGCCAATCCAATTCTTCACTATGATTCTGTTGAACACCTGTCTCCTTAATAGAAGTAAATGTTTGCAGATAATTAGCTATTTGTCTAAGCATCTAGGGAGCTCTACAAATTAAAGCTAAAATGCTAAGAAACACTACCAATCTTTTAAAATGAACAGAAAACCATGATTTAAACAAGAGTTGACACAAATATTCAATTAAAACTTCTTGACAATATTTCTGATTTGAAGTCAGTACATGAAAAGGCAATTTGCTTTTAAGAATACAGGTACCTAAGTAGCTTTAAAAGGAGCTTCTATCCTATGGCCTCTAAATTACAATGACTTCAGAAATAGATGTGTACATTATGACTTGGTGTCAGATGAATGAAGATCACAGAAACTTGGGCATAGATTGATTGTATACTTCTAGCTCTAATAACCAAGCTGGTATAGATTTTAGCCTATGATAACAAGGACTGAAATAAATTCAACTACAGGAATTTTTTTCATTTCAACTAATAAAAAGGAACTATCTATGTCTCATGTATTTTAAATATGTAATAGTGAAATCATACTACTTTTTAGTAATTTTTACCTTATTCATACTACTCTGTCTTCTTTGATATGTATTTAACCCATTTCAGTATTGATGGGAAAGGAGAGAACCTGGATACACCTTCATCTTTACCCTTTGTCTCTTTTCCTTGTGTCCTCTCTCTGTATCTATCTCTGCCTCCCTTCTTCTTCCCCTTTCTCTTTCTTTTATTTTTCTGTTAAGAAAAACAGACCATGTTCTACCTCAGATTTTATTAGTTATGAGAATTTCACACTTTAAAAAACTTTATGAAATACCAACATCATCATTTTTTGGGACTTCCTATTGTTTAACAATAACAAGGTATGCTTATGAAAGGATTTTCTATTTTGAAGGATATGCTCATTGCTTGTTCTGTATTCAAAACAGCAGAGGAAACAAGACAAGAATGAATTCAGAGACAAATATATATGTTTTATAAGTGCTAGTGGGTATTATCATAATATTTTTGCTATTTCTTATCATGGAAGCCAGTTTTCTTTATTTGAAATCCTGACAAAGATTGTTTGGAATAGTGGTTGTAACTAACTCCTTGCTCAAACTTGGAAGATGATTGAACAGGTGAAGAGTACAAACTAAGGAAACATTAGTTTGAAAATCAGAGTCTAAATGAGTATAACAAAATCTACATTTCCCTTTATAAAGAAAATGCAGTAGATGAACTAAACTTGGGATAATTTATTGGTTTTTATCCTAATCAGTACTAATCAGTACCAATAACTAATTTTATCACTCTAAGAAAGTATTTGTCAAGGATTTTCCTATGGGGTGACACTATAAGCCGACAATAAATAGTATACAGTAGTGGAACTTTGCTACTATTTTTTAGTTTTTATCTCTAAAAGCTACCAAGGCAACTTTGCACAAAGGAGAGAAGTTATATAGGTTAGCCCTTGGCTAAAAATTAAACTAAACTTTTAGTGTCTTGTGAGAGAGTCAAACATAAAATGTCAGTAAAAACTATAAACAAGGAACCCAAATAAATTATTAGTAAGGAAATGTTCTTCATTAACTTGCTCTGTGCATCTGAAAGCCTCCCCTTCATGCAAGCTCCTAGGGTGACAAACTACGCAGGAGGAGCCTCTGCACTCTGGGAATTGATGCTTCACCAGCCACATTGGCTTGTTTACATTCAGCTCTTACCAGCCTCTAAGCAAAAGAGTTTATTTTACACTCACCCATATTGTATTTACTTCCAATTTTAAAACTGTTAGCATATGTACAGTCACAAGGTCTAAAAGACTAGACTGCTAATGGAAATAAAACGCATTGTAAATATTATAGATACAGTTGAATTAATTAATGTTGGATGAGGTTGGCAGTAACATGATGCAAGGAAAAAAAGCCCACACATAATAAATACATTAAATAATATGCTGGAGAACTTTGTCCTACTGCTGAATTTAGCATGAAACAAGTAGCTTTGGACCAATGCCGCTAATAAGGTGTCCTCTAAGAAAGCAGACCATTTTCAAAGGACAAAACAAGGGAATACTTTGTGAAGTTTCATATTAGTCAGACACTAATTATTGCATTCTTGTTACTTCCTTTCCAGTATTCTTTCTTTGACTTACACACACACACACACACACACACGCAAAACCATAGAACTGTAAAAATTCTCTTAAACTTTCAAGGTTTTAGACTTTCCAATTAAAAACAGATGAAATCAGAGGTGGAGGAGTTGAGGAGGGGGCAGGAAAAATTTGTGCTGTGCCCATGTGGGGGTGGGGGCGGGGGCGACTGAAATTGCACCCAGCAAGTTATGCCACTGCTACAGAAGTAAGAGAGCTCAGTTTCATAGATTCAATCGTATCTTACCTGGTTTTGTAGTTAAATGCACCAACATGCCCCTAATTCTTCCGCGGAAGTACTACATATGCTGAAAGCTATAGTATTTGGCCTTACACATTTCTACAGAAGAAACTCCAGAGTAACCTTTAACTTCAGTAAAAAGCTGTGTTCATTCTTCCCCTTGTGCTCAACACACAGCAATCTAATACACCTCCTCATGTGGCCTGTTACCATGGTAGCAATGAATCCAGCTGCTGAAATACAAAAGACTGACAAAAAGTTGCTTTTTTCCCCTCCACCCACCCTGACAGAGTCAGGTTTTTTTCTTTTTTCTGTATGACAAGTCTAATTTGAATATGTTTCTCTTGCTGACTCAACTCTACGAATAAGAAAAAAAGTGAAAAGGAAAACGAGTAACAGAGATATAAGAGTAAAAGGTCTCCCAAAGCATTAAATCTAATGAAATAACTATTCATTTTAAATCGCCACTAATCTCTTGAAATACTGATCATTATCTCCTACTACTTCTGCCAACTAAATATTTTTAAATGCCAGTTACTAACTCAATAGGAAATAATCCTACAGTGCCTTTCAAAACCTTAAAAAATACATTAAATTATTCAGTAAACACAGATGCTGAGAACATACATCAGTATATGAAGGGCTGGTTTCAAAATATTTTTTTCCTAGAGCAAGCTTTTAATTGCAGCTTAGATGTAGGAGGTAAAATACATTTTCTTTTTAATCAAAGTCCTGTGTTTAACCATTACTTAAGCAGATCAGGTTTTAGTTCTACTTAAATTGAGCACAGGTTTGAATCTGTGGTGATACAGCTTGCTAGAATCAACCAAACTATACCTGAGGGGATTTATATTTAGATTAGGATCTTGGTATTGGTATCTGGTTCAGATACCAACTTGAACTCTCCTGGGATTGTTGAAACCAATGTCTATGTGGGTAAGATGTAAGGAGTCATCTTCTGGTGAAGTCCCTGTGTCTGAAGCTTCCCCTCACCTCATGTCAGTGCTGTCCTTTCTTCTCACCACCACCACCTTCCCTAGCTGGTCATTCTGTCCTTCAGAAGGCTGACACTTTGTCTCTTGGGTCTTGCCTTGTTACTCTGCTACTTGTATAGCTTTGCTGATTTCCCTAAGTTAGCTCATATTTTGTAATGATTGGCTGACATAGCTATTTCCCCTTTTAGATATGGCTTTTTAAGGAAGAGGAAGTTTGCCTTGTTCATCTTTCTGTCTTAAGTAACCAGCAAAGGATTTGGCCTAAGATAGGGCTTCTTCTTGAATGGATAGGGAGTGAATGAATAGTTCACCTCCCCAGTGCATTGGAGGAAACTTAGCTCTTCCATGACTGTGTTCCCAGCATTCCTTGGTATGATGAAAGCTTAAGAACTCTGGACAGGCTTCACCTTAACATAGGGCTTTCCTTTGTGAGACCTGGGATAGAGTTCCAAGAGCAACTGTGTAACTGAGCAGGTGTGTATGTTGGAAACCGGCCCTGGCATATCCCACTTTTGTGATCAGAAAAAAATTATTTAATCTCTCTAAATCTCAGTTTACTCTTTGTAAAATTCCTGAAGAGTTATGAGAAAAGAAGCACCAAGCACGGAGTCTGAAATATACAAATGCTTAAATATATTCTGGCTAGGATTACTTAGTAAATGTGTTTATGATTTTTGAATGAAAGAGACAATGAGAAAGCTAATTGGCTACCTGGAACCTGACCTCCTCTTGCTGATAAAACTCATTTTCAACCAGATACACATTATCAATCACATGCTTCATAATACAGGGTTGGAAAACAACACAGCATAAATGTAATGATCATTTTAGACAAATAGCTAAAATAACTTGCTCCCACCTACCAACCATCTAGGAGCAACTGACTAGTCAAAGGTCATACATATTCCTAGTACAAAATGGACTACTGGAAGAGTGTTAGACTTGGAAGTTGATGCTGTTGATCTTTAAATATGAAATAAAAACACATTAAGTAAAGCAGTTAATTACAACATTTATATTAGATTCATAAAAATGGTCATGTTATTTATTAGTGATACTTTTTCAAATTAAATGTAGTGTAAGGAAACTTCACCATAAGAGGTTTCAGAATAGAATTTATATTCATAGGTTGCATTTTAAATCATCTTTTGACCCTGCATTAACAGTAGCCTTTAAAAGGTCAACTGCTCATCAACACAGACCTTTAGCTGTTCTCTCCACAGTCATCTAATCCAGGAAATTACCTAACACAAAAACCACAACTGCATAGAAAAATTAGCGTTAAACTCTCCTTGAAGACTATGGTGCAAAGCAGTAGCTGGGGGTTGAAACAGCTGATGGCAAGGGAAAAAACAATAACAAAAACAAAACAAGAAAAAACAACCCCCCAACTTTCATTGTAGGAAGTTGCCAGAAAGAATAAAATCAATGTTGTGACTGTTGTGCATTGCAAGATTTCTCTACATTAAAAACAGAGAGAAAGAGAAGAAAAACCCTGCAACAAATCAGTTGAGATTATTAAAATAGCCTTGGCACTGCTACAACCCTGAAAAATCCTCCAGTGTTGTGACTCATGAGGATACAATCCTATAAAATGTGTGAGGCAGAACAGGCAAAAAGGCAAGGAGCAGCCTTACTGGAAAATTAGCACCAGATAATCTCCTTCCAAGCAGGGCATGAAGGTCCTGTAGACAGGTGGCCATTCAACATATATAATTGTTCTTCGTTTTGTAAACTTAAGAGCCTATCAATTATTTAACTAATACATTCTGTTGCTAGAGCATTTAATATGATCAGCAAACATGCATTGCATCCTTTGTCAGATGTTAAAGCAACTTGTTTGATTTTCTTTGAGCATCAGGGGGCATGAGGCCAAGATACTTGGCTTCATAAAGTTTAAAATCTCCTCTTGCAAATGATAATACTAACTTCCCTCTCATGTGAACAGAACTTGTAACATAACCTGTGTTGGTGTCACCCACTTAATTGTATATGAAGAATCCGGTCATGTGCAGAGAAGGTTTTTGACACCTATGTGATAATTTGGAAAATACTCCCAGGAAGTCAATTTGCCAAGCCCTGGCTCCACAGAGGTGGGAGGGAGCTTGGAAGGTTATTTGCTTCACTGCTTTCTTTCTCCAGAGGGGTGAGTACCTAATTTCCCACAAACTCAAAGTATGGGCTCGGAGGTCAAAATCTGAATTAAGCAGTATGGCTACAAAACCACTGGCTGCCAATGTCAATGAAACTAAAATAAGACAGAACACTCTCAAACTCTGCAAATGCCATGTTTCAGGTAACATTTTAAAGCTATTTATTTTTGAATACCACAAATTGCCTTATTGTTAGGGCACTGGTTTATATTAAGTAAGAAAACTTGTTAACAGCAGCACAAAAAGCTTGTGATTTGCTGAACAATTTTTGCAAGCACATGGTTTCCTGGGTCATTTTAAGCAGCTGACCTAAAAATATTAATCAGATTAGTATCTATTCTATTTTGTCACTTTCTTATGAAAGAATGGGGCTGTTGATAAGCATCTCTATTTGTAGCAATAGCGAGATGTTCTGTTTTACCCTTAGTATGCTTTCAAATTATATATGTCTCCTTTGAATTGTATTAACAGAACTACAAATAACAAAGATTTTAAAATGTATTTCTAATATGGACAAATAATAGAAAATATCTCTTTTTAAAATATCACTATGAAATTGATGAATATGTATCCTATAGATAACCTAATGTGAACATGGAATCATTTTGCCTTATTCATTTATGGAAATTAACTCCCAAACTTGTGTTTTTGTATTTTTCATTGCCTTAAAGTTGGTAATAATGTAGTGATTGTCTGAATTTATACTTAGCAAAAATATACTTGCCTTTAAACTTAATGAAGTTTTATACTTCTTGTCCATTTTCTCACTAAAAGATAGTATTATGAATGTATTGCAGAGAGGTTGAAAAATACAGGTTTATGAATAGCACTCATATTCAACTGTGAGATGTAACCAAAATTAACGTTTTCATGTGTTTCTTTATATATGTAAAACCCTGGATAATTTTGAATATTGTCTTTTCAGCTAATGAGAGATAAAACAATCACATGAAAGCATTATATATTAGAATTTATTTACCATACCTTATTCTTAAGTGTATATTTTTTAAGTATGTATATTTTCAGGTTTCTTACTATAATAAATTTACTTCTGTGCATAATTATTTGGTCATATCTAAGATTACTTCCTTAGAACAGATTTCTGGGGGTGGGAGAGATTAAGTTTAAGTTAGAAGATATAAGCACAAAATTGCAGAATTCATAGGACCCATACCTATAATTTAGTCTAATACCCATTTTATTGATTTTGTTGATGAGGAAACTGTGGCTTTTTAATATTTTTATTTATTTTTCTATTATTGTTTTACTGGGAGTCCACTGTGATATTTACAAAAGTTCCTACAATATATCATTGTTGAATTGACCCCCTCCATCATTCTCCTTTATCTCCCTTCCCCCCATTCCTAAAATAGTTTCAATTTTCCATTTACATATATAAGTACATAATATTTCCACTGCATTCACCTTCCTTTACCCTTTCTTTATATCCTCACTCCTTCCACTGGTGCCAACTCCCAGAAAGGACCTGTTTTACCTTTCTGTTTTACTTTTCTGAAAAAAGACATTTTTGTTTATTTAAGATAGCTACACAAGGAGTTTCACTGTGACACTTCCATGTAAATATGAATTATAACCCCAACTGGTTCATTCGCTCTATTTTTCTCCTTTCTACTTTAGCCCCCTTCTTAATGATTTCAACAGATCCAAAAATTCTATACTCATTCTTGTTTAGAAAGTACATCAAACATACTCACCTTCTTAACTTCCTTTTTTTAACCCTCCCTTTTCAGTTAGTGACCTTCCCTTAGTATGACCTGTTTTATATAATATTGCTATATTTGTATTGGGCCCATAGTCCACATATGAGGGGCACTGTGGCTAAATGAGATGAAATAACTTGCTTTGAGTCCCTTTATGAATCATTCTTCTGCTAGAATAGAAATAGGGTTTTTTTGTGAGAATCACAAACCACTTTGCCTTTTGTTATTTTCTCATGTTAACTCTAAACAGCAATTCATTCCAAGAGGCTTCCTTCCTGTTTCAGTGTGGTGTCCTGGTGTCATCTGTGAAACTCCATGGATGCCTAGATGAAGAATGGGACTCACTTGGAAGTGACTGACTTTTATTTTGGGCAGGACATTCCACATGACAGCATTCTAGAGCCACCTTCCACTGATAGTAATGTATACACATGTACATAAATGAAAAAATGATGTCTGTTGAAACTGTTCCAGGAATTAGAGGAAAAGGGGAGAGGGGAAGAAAGAGAGCAGAGGAGAGCATGAATTAAAGTATGATATATTTGATACATTGTAAGAACCTTTGTAAATGCTACAATGTACCCTCACCCAGCACAACATAATAAAAAATAAGTAAAAGTAGGAAATTTTAAAAAGTAGAACAGAGTAGAGAAATAGAATAGAGAGAAATAAATACTCTCCCAGACCTATCTGCTCTGTGCAGAACAAAATGTAAAGATTCCAAGAGAGTTGACGGGTCAGGATGCTCCTGAAGTGACTAAGCTCAAGTCGATTAAAATTATGAGAGCTCTGTTTTGACCTCTATGTTTTCTCTGGCTTTACAGTCTGTTGAGAGAGCATCAAATCTGTGATTTGAGTGTCAAGCTGTCAGGTAACTCAACAAGGATCTGTCTGGTCATCTTCTGTGATAGCCCCATAACCTGTAAACCCAGGTGTGTTTGCATAGCCATCATGATGTCTTCATATGACAGGACATATTCTTCCTCAGCTAGAGAGGAAAGGGAAAGACATTTCTGAAAATCAAGTCTGCTTATAAAGTCAAGGATACAGGCAGATTTTCAAGAGCTCATTCTTACAAGCATTAATTTTCTTAGTCTGAATACACAGTATTAGAGATTGTTGTTTCCTAGTTTCTTCTGTATGGCTCATTCTAAAATATGATGACTTCTAATTTAATAAATTTTAATTAAGCACTGTCCAAAAGCACTTACAATACTAGATGTAGTCAAAGAGATATAATGGTGTACAATGTAGATGGGAAGATAAGAATCTGGATAAAGAAAATACAACTGCAGATACAAGAATATATGAGAAAGACTATAATCAACTGACTTACATGTGGATAGATAATTTAATGAGATCACTTCAGGCAGAATGTGTAAAGAAGAAAAGTCTCCAGTGCCCCCAACATTGAAAAATATTTGTTGTTGGAATCATAAGTGTGTTTTCCCAGATTCTCTTACTTTGTGCCCAGGGCTTGGAATATAGCAACCTAGCAGTCATTCTCAGCTTTGGGGAAGGATGACTCATGTATCCTAACAGCATAGTGGTGACCAAAATTAGATGTAGGGGTGCTAGAAGCTACAGAGTTTCTCCTTTCCTTCATAATGCTCCCACAGGGAAGGATAAGTAATTTGGTGGGCCAGGAGAGGGTGGACTATAACTCCCTATCAAGTAATATGTGTCTATATGTCAGAGGCAATCAGATGGAGGAGGCTGTCAAGCAAATAAATGGAAGGTCATACACCTGTAGGCACTCAGTAAAAGTTAATTATTGATGACAACTATGAATTTTAAAAAGGGGTTTAGAAAATGAATCAAGTTAGAAAAAAACTAAGGCAAGACTATAGGAGAGTAAATTATTAAGGAAAAAATACAGCTTTAAAAAACAGTTTGAAATGATATACGGTGATTTAAGGGAAACAAAAAAGAGAAGCATATGTGTTTAAGAAAGAAGGCATGTAGTAAATTTACCAAAAAGAAGGAATACAGAAGATATGGAAAAAACACACATTATTGGGAAAATTGTTTGAATAACCTTAGAATAGTAACAATCTAACACTT